TTGCACAATGTGCAAACTCTTAACTTAGTTATGTTCATTTAAATTTGAATTTTCAAAGATTTCACATTAGACACTTAAGCATTGTTTGCACAATGCCTAAGTGTCATAAACAACTCCAAACTTAAGTATTTTATTTTTAAGTCAAATGAGAATATTTTGCAAAAAAATTGTTGTGGAGCAAAGCAGTGGCGGATTAAAACTTCTTGGGGCCCGGGGCTATTTTTGTTTTTGGAGGTCTTTTTATGGTTCATAATTCTGATCCCCTTATTTGTTTAAAAAATCCTGCGGGTGGCCATGATTACATAATATAGTTTATACTATATATATATTTATATATACATATATATATATATATATATATATATATATATATATATATATATATATATATATATATATATATATCAGCAAACATTGTTTTAGTGAATTTGCAGCGGGGCTGTCGGAATTTATTAGCAGTTCATTGGAGTCTTGCTCATCGGTTACTTCAAGGATCGTTAGTGGCAGTCGCTATAAATTGTAATCCGATAACTTTCCAACATTTTAATAGTGGCTAATCATCGGCTGGCCACTTTTGGCGACTGCCACTATGGTCCACTAGGTAATTGATGATCAAAACTACAGCGGTCCGCTCAAAATGTTTATATAGGACCTCTAAAAATCCGTTATAGAATGTTTGCCAGGAACTTTGAAATCTTATTGACCACTAAAATTGCTTGAGCAATTTCAGAGGTCAAGGCAGCAGCCATCTTGCTATCAGCAGATAATTTTTAAAAATTGAAACTTTTCCAAATATATAGTTTAGTTTTAGTGTTTATTATGCCGCAACAAGCATGAGCTTGGTAACCAACAAGCATGAGCTTGGTAACCAATTCTCGATTTATCGGCCTACATAAAACCTTACAATTTATTTAAAGAAACTTAAATGAGGATGAAGTTCCTCTTTAATCATTTTAGATGTGTCACTTCAAAATTTTCAACTTCTAAAAAAATGTGTAACCTTGATTTAAAACTATTTACAGTTTACAGCATTGAGTATGTTTTCCGGTAGTTTATTACAGTTAATCACTACACGATTTGAAAAAAATTGATAACGTTGTTCATTGTTTTTTACTAGCTCTTTTACTAATTTGAATTTATTTCCACGCGTTTGGTTATTATTTTAAAAACAAGAATTTTCATTTCACTAATTTGGATTATCGAAGCTATTTAATATTTTAAAACACTGAATTAAGTCACCTTGAACTCTACAATTTTCTAGAGATTGAATACCTTAAATCTCTCTTTCTAAGTTTTCTGTGTGATGTAATCAGACGAGTTGCTCTATGTTGTACTTTTTCCAGCTCATTGTATCGTTTTTATGCTAAGGGGTTTAAGCTGACTAAATGAGATCTAAAAAAATCTGTGTATTATTTTTTGAGTTGTTTAATATCCAAATTAGCGCGCGTGTTATTTATCAGTCCAAGCGTTCTCTTTGCTGTGTTTGATGCATATATTACTAGACTATGATGCTCTTTATTGATACACAAAATAATACCAAGATCCATTTTATTATTTGTGTTACATAAATTTATTATTTCATTACTTTTTGATGGAATTGTGTAGGTGTGATTCTTATTTGATTTGCCAAAATGTTATTTGATTAGCCAAAATGTACTACTTTACGTATTGTGTAATTTAAGTAAAGAACCCATGTTTCTGACCATTTTGCATTTTTATTTATATTATCTTGTCAAGGCCGTAGACAACTTTTTTTGATGTTTGAGTTAAGCAACTTTGAAACATAAAGAAAACTCCATATTTAAGTATGTTATGACCTTATAAAGTTTACAACCCCCTCAATTTGAGGGGTGTGTAAACTTTATAAATTCCTAAAAGCCGAACAACAAGAGGTTATTGAATCAAATTTAAAATTAGTCGATGAATTTAAATTAAGTTTAAGATTAAAAAACAAAAACAAATTTGACTCATTGTCCTCCTATTTGGGGCTGGGGGGGGGCTAAGTTTTAGGGTTTTTGTTGTTCCTAGTCTCCAATCAGAGCAATTTTTTGCATGGCATTCTCATTCCTCATATATATGAACATACTTAAGTATGGAGTTTTCTTCATGTTTCAAAGTTGCTTAGTTCAAACATCGAAAAAAGTTGTCTACGGCCTCGCTTGTAATGCATTTTTATCATTACTGTTATTTACTTTTGCTAATAGTTTAGTATTATCAGCATACAATTTACTTACATTTGTTAATAATTCTCGCAAATTATTAATATATATTATAAAAAGAATAGGTCCAGACACGGAACCTGCGGTACCCCACTCCAAACTGTTTTCCAATAAGATAAAAAAGCTGCTATTAGCACTTTTTGCCTACAATTTTTGATTTTTTACAAAGAGTTTGACCAAACTGGCTTTGACAAATTTTCCCATAACTTTATATATAATGGACGTCAAGGAAATTGAACGAAATTGTCTAGTCTACTAACTTTTTTGAATAATGGTGTAATGCATGCAGACTTCTATTGATATAGACAAGTACCTGGCTGCATTTAAAACGTAAATAAATAGCTTAAAGGTCTCGTTAATACATATGCACAACTTTTTATTAGCAAAGACTCACTCCATCTGGGTCAACAGATTTATTCGGGTTTGAATTCACTATTATATTGTGAACTGGTTTGAAATCAAATGACGGTGTTGTATATATATTGTTTGTACGGTTATTATACTTTGGTAGCTCAACGATAATGTTTTCTTTGAATACATTTTGAAAACAATTGTTCAACGTATTAGCTATATCCTTCGGATCGGTGATCATCATATGTTTATTTCTTTTAAAAAATTTATTCTCGTTTTGACATTTTTCATCTGCTTTATATAAAAATACAAAAGTTTTAGATTATATTTAGGGTCTGAAGCTAACTTTGATTCATACTCATAAACAGATTTTTTATGTAACTACTTATATTCTGTTATACTGTTTATAGTTTTGCATTGTTAAAACCACATGCTCCACATTTAAACCACAGTTTGTTTTTGACATCCACTTTAATGATTTACGAACTGTTTTTACGTATTTGATTTCGACAAATTGATCACACGCATTATTATAAATATTAAAAAAAGGCATCATAACATTCATTTACAGTTCGATTTACAAAATAAGTTTTCCAATTACATTTCGCAAAAAATTCTTATAACATTTTTTGCATGTCATCTTTGGTTGTGGTTTACATTTTATTCTGTAATGGAAAGTCAAGTAATTTTAAATATATGATTGTGCATGGTCATACATCCTAAGATAAAGAGTACGTTGACTAAAATAATTTTGTCCAAGATTTCGTAGGATTTAGTTAAGTTGCTTACATAGATGGCCACAACCTCGTCTTTAGATTTGATACGATCTTTACGGTAGAGGATATAACTTTTAATAATTGATAAAGTGGTCTCGATCCACCAAGTTTCTGTTTTGAAAACTAGATTGTTGCTTATTTACTTTTATATCGGCAATAAATTCTGACATTTTGTTATTTAGCAATATAGTATAATAGCAAAATAATTTATCAACAAAAAAATAATTTTAAATGTTACTTTTGTTTATAGTTTATTTGAATTAGAGTTGGGCGGAAGAAATAAATTTTAAGTAGTTTTTTTATTTATAACACAATCGTTGTGGCAATATAATTTGCATTAACATTACTGAACAATTTAGTTTAAATTCTCGTAAATGTTTTTTTCACACTCTCACCTCTAAGTCCGAAATAAAAAATTGTGTCCTTGTTGTTTTCATTCAGGCGTTTTCTTTCCTCAACTAGATTTTTTTGGTCGAGCCTTTCCGTTTCAATCAAGTCTGGATTAATAGAACTTTTTTCATGTTCTTTAAGTCTTTTTAATTTTTTTGTCGCTTTAAGTACTTTATTCTGTTCGAGACTACCCAGTTCTACAATTATTGGTGGTAGTTTGTTCTTTTCTTTCAATTTTAGGTGGTTATGCTTCAATATTTTCACATTTGCGTTAATTTTCTTCATCAAAACTTCTAACAAATTTTTATCATCTTTTTTTGCATTGACTACCAAATTTAAAAATACCAAATTTTGATTGATGGAGATGAAAACGTCGATGATGAAGATTTTAGAGTTTCATCGTCATCATCTGCTTAAACTTTATCTACTTAAACAACTAAACGAATAAAAACCCTAAACAACTGAAAAGCGTGATAGCAACTACAGAAGGCAAATTGGACAATATTTAGGGGTCAATCAAACTTTTAATATTTCAAGTATGTGGTTAAAAGATTAAAAATTTCATTTGTTATTTTAATATTTAAAATTTTAAATAAAAAATGTAACACTATGTGTCAATTATTCAAGCAAACGTATATACTGATATCAGTATACAACTTTTGATTTTTGATTTCCGTTTGCAAAATGCCTAAGACTTGAAAAATAATTGCATGATAAACAGCTTATAAGTTGCTTATAAACAGCTTATAAGTTGCTTTATTATTTGCTCTTTGGCGCTCCGTATTATACTCTTTTTAGATAGCTTCAAAGCAAAGCATATTAAATTTGTCACAAACTTAAACAGGGATTTTGTTTATTCTTTATGTTTTTTTGTCTTTGAAAGAAGATTAGGCTGGTTTATACCAGCTTAAATATTAATATCTGCAGTACACAGTCTCTAGAAGCCATGGTTAATAAATCTAGTTAAAGCTTTTATCCCTGGTAGTTCTTTTACCAGGTTAATTGATACTTAGTCTTACCGATACTCAAACCTTAATTTAAGGATTTGAATTTGTGTAAATACAACCTGTATGTACTGTATGCACAACCTGTATGTACTGCATGTACAACCTGGTTATTTCAGTATGATGGTTATTTCAGTATGACATTTCCAGTGAGAATTTGTATTCGCATTTATTGATATTTATGTTGTTAAAATAACAGAAATATGCAGATAGCTGAAAAAGGTTTCTAGAAAACAAATAACTTTTTTTTTGTAATAAAATTTAAAACATTTACTCATGTTTAAAAATATAACTGAAAAAAATTTAAAATCTTTTGCAAAAGATTGCATTAAAATGCTTTTTATGTACCATGTAATAACCACGCGATTACATAAAATGAAACCCAAAAAGATGATTTTTTTGCTGAGAGTATAGTTTTTACTCATTCTACTGATAATCTCAAATGTTTCATTAGAATTGGGTTTGAATATTCCATAGCTTGATCAAACTGCATTTGTAAGGGGTATTTATCATATTGCATTGAAAGACTACAGTCTGCATACACTGATTGCTGTAAAAAAAAAAAAATTTATAAGTTTTTTATGTTTATGAAACATAAAAAACTTATAAAAAAAATATAAAAGGTTTTATAATGATTGATGACAAAAAAAAAAAAAAAAAAAAACTAAATATTAATAAACAACCATTTTCTTTGATTCTGTTAGGATTCTTGCGTAGTTATCAACATTTCTTTCACAATATTTTAAAGATTGCATACAAGTATCTTCAAAAGGTCTAGATAACTGGTTATAAAACAATTGAGATAATCTATCATCAAAGTTGACATCACTAACTATAGATGCTAGTTTACGTAAATACTGAGTGTAACCATAAAACTCGTTATTTTCATAATATAGCCTCTTTTCCAGATTGTTGTTTGAAAAAAAGTTATTTGATGTTGTAAAACTGTTACTTTTTATTGAAGGTACAGTTTCCACATCTTTAACTTTTTTTTTTGAACAATCTATAATTGGGCATTGTTTTGAATAAACAGACTTTTTTCTTTTTCGTTTTTCTTTTAGTTTAACAGCATTTTTATTGAGAACATTTGATGAATCGGTGTCATAAACATTAGAAAATAAATTAGATGCAACTGTACCTGCGCAATTTTTAACCTTTTTAGTCATGTTAATATTGTGATCAAGACAAAATCCTTTATTTGAAGCACATTTTTCTGCACGTTGTGGACAATTACCAAAACTTATTTTCTAAAGTATAAACAAAAGATAAAAATTAAAAAAAAAAAATAATGGTTCTCTAAACCTACTCTATGGTAGGTTTAGAGAACCATTCGTTTAAAAACTAAAATATCATTTTAAAAAATCTAAATATTTTTTTAATAAAAAATTAACTATACAATTATATATTTGTATTGTGATATAATTTATAAAAAATAAGATTTTATATTAAATATATATTTATTTTATAAACAGTACAAACAATCATCTTGGAAACATAAACTTTACCGGTTTTAGGAGTGAAGAAAAAGATAAACATTCTACATCATCTGGTCGAAAGCCATCTGTATTAATATATGAGAATTCTCTTTTTAAACGGTTTACTGTTTGCGAATCCAAATTAATATTGTTTTCTGCATTTTCTACATTTGGAATTTTCAAATCGAATTTTTCGGTCTGTGTCATGCGACTTTGTTGAGTAAAATAATTTCCAGGAATCGGAAGGAATGACGAACTTGGGGCATTTATTGAAGGCAGTGAAGCTAACATATGATTTTGGTCTTGTAAAAAGGGTTGTTGGAAAGGCCATAAATTTATTGCATTGAAATATCTATAATCAGTAGAAATTGAATGTGGAAAATATGGAGATTGCAACATTCCCATAAATGTGCTTTCGGGTGGATAACTAAGTGCATTGTTGTATTGCTCAAAATGGTTTGTTAAGAAAGGCATTTGAGGGTTTTGAAACATTCGACAAAATTTTCGTATTATGTGATAAATACAGTAACACTAAAAAGAGTTATGGAAAATGTTCACATACCTGAAGCATATTTTTATATTAGAGACAGGTGCTGGCACGCCGGAAAGGGGTAGCCTAGGGTAGCAGCTGCTACTCCTGTCTTTTTGGCTGGGGTTACAAGGGTAGCATGAATCTGCCCTTTCTAGGAAATAGGTATCGTAAATATTAATGCTTTAAAAGCATTTCAGTATCCAACATTTCATTATCAATATTTTATTATCAATATCTACCAACTAGAAATGGTAATAGGTGCGATAGGCGGTAATAGATTAATTTTTTTTCAAATTATTTTAAAGAGAAAACAGTCTAAAATTGATTTAAACAAAATATAAAAAATTATTTTATTGAAGAGAAAAATAAGGCCCAGAATCAATAAGCAGCAGTGGCGCAACTCAGAAACAACTCAGATAAATAAACCAACGTTAAAGATTTTTTTGTAAATCGCAATCACGTTTAGAACTTATATGTTTCCAAAAATCAATTCGAAATTAAATAAAATATGTTACATTAAATTTTATTCCTCTTGCTATCGACATACGTCACAACTTTTTGTTGTTATGCTTTAACTCTTTATATATATTCCAAATGTTTTTTAGTTGATGTTTTCCTAAAAAGCAATAGTTTTTTGAGTTCATATTTTTATTTTCGAGTAAAAGAGAAAAAAAAGAAACAAATTGAAAAGACAATATACAGTTATAAAACAAATATAGCAAGAGTTTTTTCAGTTAATATTTTTATTTTCGATGATTATTTTCGAGTGGTGATTGTTTTCGACAATTATTTGCGTACAAATTTATATCTCTTAGTGACTTATTACTTAATCGTAAAAGTTACTTAAATGTAAATGTTTTAACCACTGAGCATTCATACCGAAGGCCGAAAGACTTCAAAAGAAAAAAACTAAGGAATTATCAAAAGCAGCAGCATCACCTTATGATAAGGTTTATCATATCAAAATTACTACTTTGTTGAAAAAAACAACAACTCAGCCGGTGGAGCCAGAGAACCTTCACGATAAACTAAAGAATCAGGATAAAGTTGACATAGGCAGTCAAAAAAATAGACAATACAGAAAAACAGGAGTCCGATGCAAAAGATGGTGAAATTCTAACGGAAAATCTTGTTAGAAAAGCGGAGGATTTCAGTGAAATTGATCCAAAAAAAAAAGTGACAAAAATGGAAGAACTTATATTAAGAGTTAGTTTAATGAGTTTAGTTGGTTATTTTATGATCAATCACTAAAAGCTGTCTTTTATGAAACCTTTACAAAATATAATTCATGTTCTGGTAGAGTGTTCAAGCATGGAGTTTGGAAGGGATTTAGAGCATGGAGCAAATCCGCAGGAGCACTAAAAGATCACAAAAGACTCTAGTGTTCATAAGGCTGCAAATGCTCTAAAGATCGAGAGAGAAAATTTACAACAACTAATGCTCAAATTGACCAAATGCACATGAAGAATCAAGTAGTTTGAAGAAAAGGATTGCTAGCTCATTTCGGAACATTGAAACATTGCTTCGACAGGGTGTAGCTATAAGAGGTGATAATGATGTAGAATTCAATATTTAGTAGTTTAATTTGGATAAGAGTAAAAGTGACAAGGCATTAGAAATTCTGATGAATGAAAACCATTATTTTTTATATAACGACATCTTGCAAGAGCAAGAACAATTTATCGCCTTAGAAGCACGAAGGCAGATTGTTGAAGTGATCAAAGATAAACATTTCTATTCAGTACTTGCAGATGAATCCTCAGATATTACTAAGAAGGAGCAAATGTCGTTTAATATAAGAAATTGCAGTGACAACTATGAAATGAGTGAAGATTTTATCGGACTATTTAAATGCGTCAACGGTCTTTTTTCAGATGCCTTGGTAACATATATTGAAGATATCCTTTTAAGGTGCAACTTAGAATATACAAAAGTTGCCGGAATCGGCTTTGATGGAGCATCAGTTATGAAATGTTTGGCAGCAAAACTAAAAAATATTTTTGGAAAGCAAGCGCAATATTTAAATTGCATGGCACATTGCAGCGAGCAGATTATTAAAGACACATATTCAATATCATCACTACTGTCAGATTCTTTCAGAATCAATCATCTCAAGTCAATTTATGTAATTGTTGAGGCATATCCAAATAGTGTTTCCTTTTTCAAACAAATTCAAAAGAATATATTTCATGAGTCTGAATTAAATGAATACAGAATGTTGCGACTGAAGTCTATGTCAATGGCTCGATTGACAACACGAACAAAAGCAGTACAAATGATGTTGGAGAAGATTTCAGAACTCCGTACAATATTGAACAGCCTTCAGAGTGACAGGACTATTGCTGTAGAAACAAGAGCACAAATTAAAGGTTTATTATCTCAGCTTTCATCAGTAAAAACACTTTTTGAACTGCAAAGCACTTTTTAAAGGGGCTACCAACAATTATTAACCTGTACAATGTTATTGCATCAATCAAAATACGGAGTGTTTCCAGAGTGGCAACAATTGCAGATATTTTCAATGCTATGCCAGCTGCTAAAGTAGCCAATAAACAAATACATAAATTAATGAAGCTTTACTACACCATGCCTCTATCGACATTATCATGTGAAAGAAGCTTTAATGTAATGGCACTTTTTGCAGCTGGCATGGCATTGAAAATATCTGCAAGAGTAAAAACATTTTAGGTCACAATTTGGAGGCAATTACCTGATCAGCAGCATGTTTGCTCAGATACACAAAAAACAAATCGACAAAATTAACATTAAAAAAATTGCCAAACAGTTCGTTGAAATGAATGACAGTATAATGAATTAATACATGAATGGCGTTGAATGGCATTGCATGAAATGTACTATTGACAAGTAGCTAGGAATCAGTTGATTTATTTAGTAGACTAAACAGTAGTAACAGCATGTTAAAAAAAACAAAACAGTAAAAGTAGTAACAGCATGATATAACATTTAGTCTTAATTGTACTGTACACGCGATTCGTATTAGTAAAAGTAGTAGATAAAGTGACATTTTTTGTGTATTTTTTGGAGAACGGTATGGTTAATTAAAAGGTTTATTTATTTGAGATATTATACTTATTAAAACATTTTGTTGATCTTTTGGCAAGTGCCCTTGTGTTTTGGTTTGCCACCCCTGTCCTTAGACCCTTCCGGCGTACCTGGACAAAGGTAAGCTATGTCGAAAAAATAGAGAAAGTAAGGGGTTTGAAGATAATAAAATAAGTAAAACAGATTAATCAGTAGATTTCTATTGATCAACAGAGTTGCCATAACCTGGAACGTCATATTTATAGATCTCCAGTTAAGAATAATTTTGTTTGAAAAAATATATTTAGCTCATTCTATTTTTCTGTGAAAGGAGGGGCGGATGAAAATCCTAAGAATCAAAAAATTATTGACCTGGCAATTTATAATTATAAAACGTATACCTTTTATTCTCGCTTCATTGTAACTTCAATGTATTTAATCAAAATGTATTTAATAGAATAAAATAACGTGTAGCTCCTATGAGTCATGTGAACATTATGTCTTACATAATGCCAAACTTTTCTTGATTTTTTCTTAACAATATTTTTCTAAAATTTGAATTTTAAATTATGAAAAGAACTATTTATTCCTAAATTTTTCAGCTTTTTTCTATTTAACGAAACTGAAGTAGGTATTTTTTGCAGTTTCTGCTTTCAAAAAAATTCCTCAAATGTCTTCTTGAGGTATGATTTTTTTTAACCATTTTTATTTAAGCGCATTTTTATTAACGTACCTTCACTTTTCTCAGCATTATAGTTTATAATATATATTGTTATATAGCAATATATAATAGTTATTTATTGTGTTTTTTTTATTATTATTATGATTATTTTTGTTTGTCAGTTTCAAGAATAAAGTTTTTGCTTTTACCAATTAAACTGTTGAATGATACTGAAATATTTTTTTAGTTATTTTTATTGTTATTTAGGTGCCCCAAGAAGAACTAACGGTTTTGTCACACAGCACCGCGGAAGTGCATTTAACCAGGAAGTTCACGTCTAATTCTTTACCGTGACCGAAAATATCCAGAGCTCGTTTCGAACCTGAATCTCGGCCGCACATTAACAATTAATTTCAACTAATTTTTCCCGGTTTAGTGCAAAACTACCAGCATTGTGGTAGCACTGACCAAGCATTGATTTTTATGTTAAAGTTCTTTTTTAGGCTAATGGCTCATATTGATTTGAATTTTTAAGGTAAACACTTTAAAAATAGTATGAAGCAAAAATTTATAAATGTAAGACTCGGTAACTGACAATACTTTTTATGCTATAAATTCGAAGTTAAAAGCTCATAGAAGACAATTAAAATTTATATAATTAGTGATGCAATCATCAAAATCCCATATGCAAAGTGGAACCATTTCTAAAACAGTTTTTAGTTTTAGAACAGATTAATTAAAATGTTAATAATCAATCAATCAATCAATCAATCATATATATTCTGAAAATAAATTTTCAAGGCTATTTACAAATAGTATTGAAATACTAATCTCAAGTAAATACCTAAAAAAAATAATTTATATATATACAATTAATCTTAATAATAATAATAGCAATAATAATAATAATAATAATAATAATAATAATAATAATAATAATAACAATAGCAATAAAGTAATTATAATAATTTAAATAATCGGTATTTTCCCTACAGCAATCATTTTTACATGCAAAGTTACAGTTACAAACAGTAATAAACTGACAAAACGTAACAACTAACGATGACATAAAAACGACTACTACTAAAAAAAAATTAAAGATTTAGTAAATATATTAATATAATCATAGTTGTAAAAATATATTAATCAAAATATATTGCAAATATTATGACCAAATAAATAAATATAATATAAACAGAAAAACACTGAGAAAATCAAAACAAAACAAGTTTACAACAATCATTACGAAACAAAACAAAAAACTATGCAAAATAAACAAAACAAACAACAACAACAAAAAAACTTAAAATTAAAAAAGATAATAACAAAAAACGGTAGAATTAAACATATATAATAAATGGCTAAAAATGAAAATAAAAACAAACAATATATAACTGTATAAAAAATTTATATACCACTAAAAATAAATAATAACTAAAAAACAAACAAATGACTAACAAAAAATAACAAGTAAAACTATATACGCTAAAAAATTGAAGAAAAATAAATAAATAATAAAATAAATAATCCTAAGAAATATATGAAAGAAAGCTAAAAAAATGTATGAAAAATAAATAAAAATCTAGATTTGCCGATCGAGGTTCATCTCTTTAAATTTTTTTTTTTCATTCTTTGGCATTGTTTTTATATTTCATTCATTTAACGTTTTTTTTTTAACTTCTATTTTCGTAAGTTTTTTACTTATTTTCTTTCAGATGTTTCTTTTTCTTTTCTTCTTTTACAAGATTTATTTATTCTTCTTTTTTGTTGATTTCATTTTTAGTTTAATTTATAAATGTTTTCTTTTCTTTTTTACTTTTTTCCTTTTAAAAAGTTATTTTCAACGGTTTGAAAAAAGCGTCCACCATTTGCGATGTCATTGCAAAGATCAATAACTAATTAAAACTAATTAAAATGTTTAATTTAATAACTAATTAAAATGTTTTTTTATTTTTATATTTTAATATTTTTAATATTTATAATATAATATTTACCAGTAATATGATAAAAATGTAAAGTTCTTGAGAAAATAAAATTTACATATTTGACCTTACAGATTTGACAAAATGTTTACGAAAATTTAAATTAAGAAAAAAAACTGTACAATGTTACAGTGTACAGTCTTCTTTTCTTTTCAAAACAACTTATATTTAAGACGGATAGATAAAAGAATGAAATATAAAAAAAGGAATAAATAAGTCTGCAGAAGACTAACCAAAAAAGTAAATTTTAAAAATTATTACAAAATTAATTAATAAAAAAAAGAAATTTTAATTTAGTTTAGTTTGCCGTTTAAGAATATATACAATGTACACAGGGCCGTCCCGAAGAGATTTTAATGGGGTGGGGGTGGGGGGTGATATATCTGTTTTTTGCCGACAAATGTCAAAAAAAAATAACATATACATTTAAGTTATACAAAACAGTCAATTAAAAGTTATCAATTAGACTAAAACAATGTTAAGATTTACATAGACTTACAATTGGATATTGCACTTCTCTGTTAAAACTAAATAATAAAAAAAAAGTGAAAGTTATTCTGATGTGTAGCTTTTGTACACCATATGTGCAAAGTCAAACAGTTGTAACGACAAATATAAACGCGATAAAGCGATAAAATATGTTAGATATTAAGAAACATTATGAAAAAGATTGATCTGAAAGTGTGTATAAGATATGCGAAACCAAATCTTATTTCATAGGATCTACATCAGAAATCTGGTACCACCTTGATCAAAAGTATAGAATAAAAAATCCCCCCCAAAAAATAAATGCCAAAATTTTTTTTACAAAAACAACGCCAAAAATTTCATCTTTTTTTTTAGAAGGATTCAATCATAAAAGTTCTATCAAAGCTAGCGATTCTGGATGGATTTCATTTTAATGCTTTAACAAAAAAAACAGACTCACCCCAGCTAACACTAAACGTTCAACAACGTTATAAACGTTCAAGAACGCTCTATGAACGTTCATAAAACGTGCTTAAACATTCTCAACGTTTGTCAAACGTACTTGAACGTTTTGTGTTAGCTGGGATCCAGTCAGTAATGACAGAAAAAGGTTTTTCAAAAAATCACAAACCAGCAATTTCGATTGCTATCAAAAATTATTTTACAAGTGTCAAAAATGAGCTAAAAAAGTTTATTGCTGTTGGATAGGAAAAGTTTTAGCGCTACACTTTATGAATACGTCCAGACTTATTGATGATGAAATCAGCATTTCTCTCCCAAAAGTCAAAATTCATTTCTAGTCAGTTATCAACAAATTTCAAAAAGTTATAACCAAAATTTCTACACTTTATGAATACGTCCAGACTTATTGATGATGAAATCAGCATTTCTCTCCCTAAAGTCAAAATTCATTTCTAGTCGGTTATCAACAAATTTCAAAAAGTTATAACCAAAATTTCTAGTCAATAAAGTTTTCTAAGAAAAAATTAAACAACAACACGGAAAAAAAATATTGACTGACACTGATGCCCTTGAACAACTCGACACCTCAAGTTTCTGATTAACAAACTGAACCATAAGAAATGATTCTTTGCATCAAAATAAAGGATGCAATTATAAAACGATTTGCTGATTGACAGAAAAGCGAAAAGCAGTATGAATAAAGAACATTTTCAACATGCTATCAAAAACAATTTTCAGATAAATAGATAAAAAAAAATCATTTTTTCCAATTTACCGTTAAACTTTAAAGCCGATGAAAGCTTTTCTATTTTTTAATTTGTGTTCCGAGAAGACCTAATGTTCATATCCCAGAGCACCACGGAGGATCATTTAGTCAGGAAGTTCACGCCACCTTTTTTACTTATGTCTACTTTATTCAACTCTAGGCTAGATGCAACAAGCTTTAATCAACGTTGCTTTTTAACTGTTACGAATAGCTGTTGTTGTAAAAGTTTTCCATATTTAAAATTTTCTTGCCTAAAATTGCATAACAAACTTTGACATCTTTGCTGCAAAAACTAATAGGAATTTGTGTTCTGCGCTACTCAACAACGAAACAAGATGTGTTTATATGGTAAACTTTATTAAATGTTCTGAAAGTTTTTGATTATTGTAATCCTTGAGAACTTTTAAACAAAAACCAAGATAGTGATTTTCGTTTGAAAGTATTACTAGAGGTCATATATGACCTTTGGTAACAATAGTATTGTTTTTTATCTGATTGAGTAGAAAACTCTGCTGTCTGAAAACAAATATTAAATATTATGATATTTGATTGGTAAAGTAAATTACTACTTTAATTGCTGAAACATTCTATGGTCCTGAAGTTAGACTTTTTATAAAACATGATGATTTTCCTAGCACAATTAAAGATTTACAGTGTGCAGAAAGAAAGTAACATTCAGGACCAGGTTCTAAATTATTATTGAGTTCCATTGTCATTTTCGCGCCATCACTTTTCTCAATTTCTATATTTACATGCGTTATCTTGTTATATTGCTGTTTTTTTGAAGTTACAAATAAAAAATATGTCAAATTTTCTTAATTATTTTTATTAATATTGGTTGTAAAATGTAAACGATATTAACGAAAAATGTGAAAAGACTACCGTCTTCTAGTTGATCAAGTCATATCTTTTGCTATATGCTATAAATATGTAATGCTATACTCTTTTTCAGCACAGCAAAATTATTTATAAATGACTGATTTCAACGCTACAGCGTTGAAATCAGCCATTTATTGCATAAATATAATAAAATTGTATCAGCGCGCTGATACAATTTCGCTTTTGAACATAAGTAGTTTGTTAGAATTCAATTTGAAAAAAAAAAAACGATAATTACAAAGTTTTTGTAAAGGGTGATTTTTTCTTTCCATTGATTGGTCGTTTAAACCTAAGCTTTTCAGCTTTCATAAAAACATATTAATTTGTTTGAGGCAACCCGGAACAACATTTAAAAAACAAACGACGGATTTACATAACGTGCTTACGCAGATATAGGAGAAAGTGGGGTTACCGAAAAAACGCAGAGGGGTTGTTATATGCACGGAAGTGCATACAAGAGGGAAGGAGGTTCCTAAATTAGTAGCTTTACTGCATATGCACGTTGTGGATGCCCCCTAAAAGAAATTGTTTTTAAGAAATTAGTTACAAACTAAGAAATCGCAAACCAAATGCTGTCAATGATGAAATACTTTAAATATTTTTGAGTACTACTTATAAAGTTTTCTTGTTTTTTTTTTTACAAATTACTAAGACAGTTATTAAGAAATTCCACACCATATAATTTTCCATACAACAAACCATATAATTTTCTATACAAATATTAATGTCTATGTACACAACTCATGCAGTTATTGAAATCACTGAGGTTATTAGAAAAACTTTTGATAATAAACTCTTCGCTTGTGGTATATATGGTGACCTATAGAAATGATTTGACACTGTTGATCGTTCTATCTTCCTTTGTAAACTTAAACACTTATTGTTATTAGAGGAATTGCTCTCTAATAGTAGGCTCTGTATAATTATGTATTATTGCTTTTACTTGTTTTCATTGATGATCTTAATTTATCGTTAAAATGTGAGACTCCCTTCCACTTAGCTGATGACACCAACTTGCTTAAAATCAACAAATCGTTAAAACAAAATACATTATTCAAAATCTATCAAATCTAGTCATTGACTGTCATTGAACACTAGTAAAACTGAAACTATCATATTTAAATCAAGGCGAATAAAATCGCCATCTAAATTTCAGACTGAGTGGTCAAAAATCATTCAAATTATCTCAATTAAAGTATCTTGGAATCAAAATTGATTCAAATTTATTTTTTTCACATCACCTCAGCAAAAAAAAACTATGAAGATCAAACGGGATGTTACCAAAAATTCAACGATGTCTATCTTGACACTCATCAATATATACCAAACCATTTTTGGATCACATCTATGGTAAGCATTTGGGAACAAATCCGTTCCCAAGAATTTATACGATTATCCAACTTACAAAACAAGAGTTCAAAAAAAAAAAAAAAAACACTAATCACTTTTAATTCCAATTGAAGATTCTCAAAATCAATTATATTATTTTCAATTCCTCATATTCATCTTGTTTCTCGCTGCGAAACGCAGGTAAATGTATCTCTTCTCATTGTTTTTTATAAAATTACTATTATTGAGATTGTTGTCTTTATTGTAATGTCATCTCTGCAAAAAACAGATTATTTAGTCGCCAGACTTAATTTAAATGACAAATTATTTTTAAAAAGTTGGTTTAGTAAATTTTTTTTGTTTTTAACTGCGATTAATCAACACGCAGAGGAGGATCTCGGTAGATTTTTTTTTGATGCTATAACCTCATTAATTGTTGTTACAACCTCATTAACCTCAAATAATTAGAGTTAGAAACTTTACATGTTCGTAACTTTCAAACACTTTAATATTATTTGAAGAAATTTAATATCTATTAGTGGTGTGGTAACTCTGTTCCTACGCTAGAAAAACAACAAACAAAACTGATTTAGTTTTGGTTTCTAGTTAAGACTTACTATTAACATTTATCATGCTAGTCTTTATCCAATCAATCTTGAAAACGTAATTTGCATAAATATATAAATACTTGTTTAAACATATACGTTTATATTTATCTTGCAATTTAAACTCGATGTACTACTTCGTAAAAATTCTTAAAAAGCAATGTTGTACCAAGAACCAGATGTTCCTAAATTTCGAATAAAAGAATTTTTTAATAACAAATTTAATTGAAATCAAAGATTATCCAACTGAACTTTCAAATCTATACCATCTAAATATTTTGATGTACAAAAACCTTTTATATTTGACAAAAAAACAAATAAAAACTAAAAAAAATGCAATTTATACAATTGACGACATTTTATGCCTCATGTTTATAAATTAGTTCTATAAGAAAAATTTATTCGTAAAAATCAATCACTATTCAACGATTTTGATTTACTGACCACAATAATAAGAGCATGGTGAATATCGTAAAAGAGGTTCATCGGGTTTTAAGAACCCTAAAGGTATAAGTCTCTTCCACTCGTCTTCGCCATCACAACAATCGCATATACCGTCGTTGACTAAAGATGAACGAATATATTTCTCTTCTATCTTGCAGAAAAATCTAAATTATTATTTTTTAATTTTGTGTGTATTTATATATATATATATATATATATATATATATATATATATATATATATATATATATATATATATATATATATATACATATATATATATATACATATATATATATATATATATATATATATATATATATATATATATATATATATATATATATATATATATATATATATATATATATATATATATATATATATATATGTATATATATATATGTATATATATATATATGTATATATATATGTATATATATATATATATATATACATATATATATATATATATATATATATATATATATATATATATATATATATATATATATATATATATATAAATATGTATATATATATATATATATATATATATATAAATATGTATATATATATATATATATATATATATATATATATATATATATATATAAATGGGTTTGACTATGTTCATCAGTAATATTATATTGCATATTTTATTGCATGTATTAAATAACGTAAGTGGACTATGTATGTTTAGATATATGTTTACATTTTACTAATACATCATATATTTTGCGAATATATCATATTATATATGTTGAGATAATTACTTATATTATACTAATATATTATATTTTACAAATATATCATATACTTACATTTTACTAATACATCATATTATCAGTTATAGCCACTCATTTACAAATCAAAAAACAGTTGCAGAACTTAATTTTCGCTTTTTAATGTAATGTTATAATAAGTAATGTTAATATCTATAAATATTATGTGGTGATATTAATATGTATAATAGAAAAGAATTCATCCAACAATTTTACTTTAGAATATTATGAGTAAAAAGATTACACCTCACCTGAGCTTTTAGTAATTGAACGACATATAAATAGTAAAAAGTTATAAAGATTTCTTGAATAACTGAGGGCACTGAGCCACAGAAATGTTGCGAATGTATTTCAAGAAATGCTTCTGAATGTTGAGGATAAAATGCCGTTGCTTTGGATATTTCAGCATGATCAAAAACATGACTTCTATCAAAAAGAGATGGTTCCAAAATAACAGTATCAGACAAGGGGATTGGCCAGTACAATTGTCAGATTAAAAACGAGACTCAACAATAAATGCTTCTGTTCAAATCAAAGCAAATTGATAATTTCAAATTCGAAACAATCACTTTCTGTTATATAGCAAACAGGCACTTATCACAATTGAAATGTTTATGCAATATGTCTAATACCTGCATTTAATTTTTATTTGAACCTGAACAAGAAGTTTTGCTTAAAGAATCATAGTATAAGTGACATAAACTTTAGTTGTGCTCCCAGAGAAGTTCAAGGCTTTGTATATAATTATGTTGTTACTTGCAGCATAAAAAAACTAACGAAGTTAAAAAAAGCTTTTAAAAATAAAGTTCCAATTTCTATCAAATTAGCTGGTCCAAGTGACTTTAAAAAAAGATTTATCACCTGTCAACTTGTAAAAGTTGACAGGTGATAAATCTTTAAAAAAACAAACAAAAAAAAAAGAAAAGAAACTGCAGATGTTGTCAACCAACCTTCCACAACCCTTAGATCACTCTAACTTGAGTATGGGACAGAAAAATTACAGAAAACCAAATATACAATTTTGATGATGCTGTTTTAGGGTTTTTTGACTTGATGTTTAAATTTCTGATTTGATGAGGACTAATCAGGATGGCCACTCAAATTTAAAAATGAAATTCCATGACTTTTCCATGATTTTTCTATAACTCCTCATAAACTTTTATGATAAACCACTAACCAGTAAATTATTCAGTACTTGCCATGCACTAAACATTTGCAACTTTGTAATTATAAAACATGCAAACCAAAAATTAATTGGTAGAAAATTCTGAAATCATGTCTGAAAAAAACTCTTTTTCTTTTACTTCTCTGATAATCTATAACTTACACTGCAACAATATCTTTCAAAAATATCAAAAAGGACTTAGAATAAATCTATAACTTACACTGCAACAATATCTTTCAAAAATATCAAAAAGGACTTAGAATAGACATACTAATACTTTTCTTTTCATCCTAAAAATATAAAAAGCAGAAAAAAAAAGATCATGAATTTTCAATGACTTTCAATGAAAATTTAGGAACTCCATGACTTTTTCCATGACCAAATAAAATTCCATGACATTTCCATGATTTCCATGACTTGTGGCCACCCTGACTAATATACAGATAGGACTAATAAGATATTTAATGCAAAAAACTGTTTTTTTACTGTATAATGTATGCATTAATTACATTGAAAGTTTTTTTTACTAAAGTTTTTTTTACAAGGAGCATTATCCTGTTGAAATTAATATTCAGGGACATCTTCTTCAAATAGTTTTAACATTAATGGCTCCAAAACTTAATTGAGTAGTAAGTGAACGCGTAGTAAAGTGAACACGTGCAAAATTTTTTGAAACAATTTTTATTTAATAAATTCAATTTTGAATTTAGGAATATCAAAAATTTGGCAAAATCAATTTAAAAAAGATTATTTTCTGAATTTATTTACTCTAAATCAAATGTACATCAAAATAGCAACTGTATATTCCTTTTATGGATTTACAGTGGAGTTTAAAGAGTAAAAAATAAAAAATGAAACTGATGTTTAAGTAAAAAAAAATAGATGAATATATGTTTTTTAAGTATAAAGAAACAGTAAAGGAAAGTAAAGGGAAGTAACATTACTAAAAGAGCACCACACAAGATTGTACTTTGGTTGACAGAAGATGAATGTATGATGATTTGATAAGTAATCATAGTAGCACTAGTACAGAAGAAATGAAAATAAGACCCAAGGTTGGCGACAGGACCAGATCTGACAGTATTTGCAATGTCTTTTTGGACTTTGTCTAAATATGAAAAAGAAAATCATTAGAAAAACCAGCCCAAACATGATAAAAAAATTCCATACAAGATCAAATAAGAAATTTATAATCTGTTGTAAATGAAAAATAGTCTATTGTAAATGAAAAAATTGCATCTTTACTTTATGTGTTTCAGACCTGCATATAATTTAATTTTGTTTTTAACTGCGATAAAAGCAACTTTGATAAAAAACAAACTATCAGTGAACTGGAACTAAATATCACAGATGGCTATTATCAATTCCAACAACAATTATGTAACTTGATTGTCGTTTGTTGTTGGACTTTTTATTCACTAATGCTTCATAATATATGAAATTTTTTTGCATATAAACAAATAAAATTATATACTGTAAATTTTTACAAAGATCATTGCATGAACAAAAGTCCTTTTTTTAACAATAAATGATTTTTTTGAACATATTTAAATGCGTAAATTATAAAACTAATAAATAATTACTTTATTGATTAGTTCATTCATCTACAGAGTATAGAGTAGTATAAGGTAAAGAATATATTAAATTAGTTTATGTGGAGAATATGTCTATACACAAAACCCAGAACACACTAACAATTTATTCAGAATAGTGCCTTTTATTTTTTACATTAACAATGTTTTTTAAAAAAAAGAAATCAATTTAAATAAAAAAATCTATAATAAGGTAAATTACACAGGTCAAATGATTTTTAAGAAGAGGGGTGATATTGCGCATGGATGGTGTCCCTGTTTCTACTTTTGGTGTGTGTTGTCAAGGCAACATTTATAGCTTTTTGGCTTAGGGTATATTAATAGTAATGAGGTAATTGCTTGGACTGTTAGATAGTGTATTGAGTACTATCTGTTCTTTGAGCTAAGTTCTTTAACCAATCTAAAAAATGACTCAAGTATCAAAAACTATAAACACAAAAAAACATCATCATCTCCAAGTTCTATAATTCTATCATTAATTAATATTTTTGATCTTTGAAGTAACTTTTCTCTGTTGAGTCTTATCTCTTGCAAAGTTCACCAAACCAACTTGCTCTTTGTAAGACTAATTTGAGTTCAGCTGTCTCATCTTGTGATTTTAGTGTTTATGGTTATCTTTCTTTAATTTGTAAAAATTCCAATAATCATACCCTTGGCCTGGGCATTTACATTTGTTAAATTCACCCATTTGTCAGAAAACTAGGTTTGAATCCAATCCATGTGCTTTTGTTTAGTACCACATCACTCATTTACCTTTCTCTTTGTTCAATATCACTCTCATTCGTCTAAATCATTCTCGATTGCTCTCAACATTTCTAAAGCCTTTGATAAAATTTGGCATGCTGGTCTTTTCCATAAGCTCTTTTCTTACGGTGTATCAGGTGAATCTTTAAGATTATTAAATCCTTGCTTGCCAAATGTAGTATAAAAGTTGTCCTCAATGGACAGCACTCTTTCTCATTTCCTGTAACTTCAGGGGTTCCTCAAGGTTTTATCCTTGGCTCTATACTCTTTTTAATTTACATTAATGGTCTTGCAGATATTCTCACCTCTAAGGTGGCATTGTTTGCTGATGAAATGCATTTGAACTTGAAAAATCTCACTTCTGCTACAGCATCGGAATCTCAGTGGCTGGTAAACTTTGACTCATATAAAACTCAATTTTTTTTAGGTAATCGTTATTGGAACAACCTATATCTTCTGGATCTATATTTATGAACCGTAAAGTACTTGATGAGTCACCTACCCTTCGTCTTCTAGGATTAACTCTTACTTCGGATCTTTCTTAGAAACCATATATCAAATAGATTGCAAAATTAGCATCTGCTAAAGTTGCATCTCTTTATCATGCTTGTCACTTTCTTTCTCTGGATTCTATTCTTTATCTCTACAAATTTCAAATCCATCCTTGTATGGAATACTGCTGCCTTATCTGGGGTGGCTCTTCCGAATGATGCCCTTTCTCATTTAGACTTTCTCATTAAGGTGCAAAATCACATTGTAAACAAAGTTCGACCTGCTCTTGCAACCAATCTCTAGTCATTATCGCATCATCGTAATGTTGCTTCTCTTTCACTTTTCTACAAATACTATAATGGGCACTGCTCTAAACAGCTGGCACCTCTTGTACTATCTACTAAAATACATTCTCGTGATACTTGTCATTTAATTAAGTCTCATACTTTTACCGTGATTATGCCTAAGTGCTACAAAAATTCTTATTTGCCTAGTTTTTTTCCTTGAACATCAGCCCTTGGGAATTTGCTTCCTTCTTTTTGTTTTCCTAATTTATACTATTTGCAACTTTGAAATCATCTGTTAATTGTTATCTTGCTCTATAAACTTCATTTTTCTTTTCTGTTATCTTTCAACTCTAATAGTGGTTGCTTGCAGGTTGGTTGCCTTGTTGGAAGTGAAGATTTTTTTTTATACAGAAGATATTTTAAATAAAATATAAATTTCTAAATTAAATTATTAAAATGCTTTATGAGTATTATTAAATAACAATTAGTAAATGGAATCAAAGTAATATTGCCTTCTGTGCAAAGGTCTACAATCAAAGAAATATATGCCTTCTGTACAACTTGTTAAGGCAGGCAACTCAACATGCATTTTTTATTTTTTTAAAAGTAATTTTTTAAACTCATCTGGAATTCTTTAAAGGATAATTATCAAAAAAAAAATGATCAAATTTAAAATAAACGACAAAAAATTATCAAAAAAAAAAAAATGATCAAATCTAAAATAAACGACAAAAAAAATCAAAAATGGTCATGGATTTGACTAAAGCAAGAGCTTCTGAAAACATTGTCAACTTTTTTATTTAGGCCGGATTGTATCTGAAATTTAAACAAAACTAATTTACAGATAAATCCTTCTGCTAGGAAAATCTTTTTTCTAAAGAATTTCCTAGACTAAGTTTGGATGCCAAAATTTGCTAATATTATTTTTGAACTCCACCTCTATCAACATGCAACCAAACCAACTTTTACATAATCTTTATCCCTTTCATTACTTTCAAAGAAACAAATTACCATGGATAACCCATGAACTTATGTAAACACAAAAAAAGCTGGGGTTTCTTAACATTAACAGCAAATGGAAAACCATTCCTCTGGCTAATGAGTATAAACAAACTCGAAATCTAGTAAAGAAAGCAACTCGTGATGTCTGTACCTTATAATTATCTAATAATATTGAAATTAATTTAACTAATGACAAGAAAAACCTCTTTAACTATTTTTACTAAACTATCACTTCCTTACATCTCTTTTGATTATGAGTCTGTTCGAAGTCACCTCGTTTCTCTTGATGGTTACAAATCTATAGGTGAAGATCAGATAAGTTCTTACTTAAGGTATCCTCTAAATCAATAGCAACTTCACTAGCCATGATCTACCAAAAATCAATGGAACAAGGCATGTTACCAAAAGCATGGCTTGTAGCAAATGTGACTCTTTTGTTCAAAGGAGGTTATAAAATGAATCCTAACAATTACAGACCCAATTGCATTAATTCTGTACCATGCAAAACAATGAAGAAAATAGTTAAAAATAAGATAATGCATCATCTACTATCTTAAAATCTTATATCAAATTTTTCATGGTTTCATAAACAAAAACTCTTGTGTTACTAATTTACTTGAGACCATGGATTTTTTGACCTACAGTAAATCACATAAGCTTCCTGTTGACACTGTCTTTCTAGATTTCACTAATGCGTTTGACAAAGTTCCTCACACTAGAGGCTACAAATGCTGAAATTCTATGGAATTGAAGATAAAATGTTAAACTGGATTAGAGTGTTTCTTTCAAATCGTCCTCAACGTATCCAACTTGGAAATGCAACACCGGAATGGGAAAAAGTTACTAGTGGCGTTCCTCAAAGCTCAGTTCTTGGTCCAACCCTTTTTACTATCTTTATTAATGATTTACCAGAACAAATTAGTAGCAAAAATATATGCAAAATGAATGCAGACGACACAAAACTCCTTAGTGTGGTCAGCACTGAAGAAAAAAAACACTATTTTGGAGTCTTTAGATCAATTTCGCTCATCGACATTAACATGAATTTAGTTAAAATCTTTTTAAAAAGTTACTTAATTTACTACTGATCCTAGTTCTAATCGGTTCTAACGTATATTAACTATATATAGTTGTTGAAACACAATATTTCTATCAATTTTCACAAAAAAATACTGGAATTCCGACCAAGAAAGAGCTTATAATTATAAATAATTGCCAATAAACGATCAGAACAGATCGTATTGTTAAACTATAATGTTCATTTCACCTAAAAAACGTATTAATATAAAATCTTATTTAAATTTGGAAGAGCGATTGTGATTTTAGGATGATTTTTTTTAAAAAAAAGATTCCACGGTCTGGGTTTTTTCGCTACAAACATTTATATTTTATGATACCACAAAATTTATTATTTTAATTTTTTTCATCTTTTCATAATTCACAGACCACACCATTTCACAGAAATATGTCATAATCAACAAAATATCATACAGACGCTATAATATTTTAAAAGTGCCTTAACTACACAGAGTTGGGTTCAAAAATGACCTATGGAAATGAATATTAGGAAATATTTTTGGAAAAGGATTGGTTGAAATGCATTTCAACCAATCCAAATTCACTCCACACCAATACTTAATTGATGATTGTGGCTTATAGCTGCTATACAAACTAGCTTCGCTGTTAATGATGAACCTATGGTTCATGTATTGTTCTGTGTAACTTATTATTAATAATAATAAAAAAAACAGTCTATTACCATGCTTTAACATGAGGTTAATCATTTTATACTATGCTTATTTATGGATCAGAAAATAATCACTCTCTACATCCTTTTTTGATCTTACAAAGCTTTCCACATTTATGATACATCAGATAAATAATAAAAAAAAAAGTATCAAATTAGGTTACATGGAAGACTTTTTAGAAATTGGATGAACAAGTTTATTTTATAAAAAGGATTTTGAAAAGCCTGATTTTGAAAAGCCTGATTGAAGGATTTTGAAAAGCCTGATGAAAGAATTTTGAAAAGCCTGATCTTCTGTGTTAATAACACAGTAGCCATTTAACATACTCTACTGTAATAAAAGTTCAGTATAACTGCATTTAACATACTCTACTCTAATTAAAGTTCAGTATAACTGCATTTAACATGCTCTACTGTAATTAAAGTTCAGTATAACTGTATAACTTTTCTTACCTCAAAACCAAATACTTTACAAAGCATTTTGTTGTAACTTCAAAAAGACTTTTAAAATCTTTGTGAAGTTATTAAATACATCTTGAATATAAAGAAAAATGAGTTATTTCTAATTGTTATTATTAAATAAAAAATTATATCACAATATAAATAAAGTTTTATCTAATATTACAGAAACATCTAAAGTTTTATCCACATTAGCCACCCCTTCATAATTGAAAAATAATATTCATACTTTCCATTTACACATGCTTCAGTGCCAGGTTCATCACTTTCATCTTCACAATCACAGAAATCATCATTCACAATGCTATATGGTAATGTCTTGTTATCACATAAAAACTTATCACGACGATGACATAAAGGATCATCAGGATGAAGTCCAAGACAAACTAGTAAATAAAATTTTTCAAACAAATAAAATTTCATTCAAACATGATGTTTTATAAATCTTCCAAAAGAATTGTAGAATTCCAAAAGTAGAATCACAAGAGTATAAACAAATAAAAACATAGTAAAAAAATAAAGTTACAAAGTTTATTACAAAGAAAGAGGGCAAAAATTTAAATAAAAATTTTCATTTATTTTGTATTTAGGCTGACAAACTAAACATAAAAAAATGAAAGCTTATAGAGCAATAACAAATATTTTCAAAACACTAAAAAACTAACAACAAAATGTTTAACAAATTTTTGATGCAATCAATAATCATGCTGGTTGAAGAGACTTTGAATTCATTTATTTAGTTAATAAAAATAACTAAACCATAATTACTTAAATGTATTTTTCTTTAATTTAGCTGCAACGCTGCAACTAATCAACAACTGCAAAAAAAAGTCTTATTTTTTAAACTAAATAAAAATTGGAATGTAAATTTAGTAAAATGCAAATAAATTACTCATTTTAAGTACAATAAAAATAATAATAGCCCAGACAAGTTAAAAAAAAAACAGACAACCTCTTCAGGCTATAAACTCTTTATTGCATTAAAAATGCAAGCAATCAATTAAAGAATAATAAATTACCAAGATTAAAAGCCTTCTCTTACCATTTTAATTTTAAAAGAAAAGTTTTTATAAAAAACATTTATAAACATAATAACCTCATTCATTCAACTTTATTCATTCATTCGACCTCATTCATTAGTAAAATGAATTTTAAAGTATCTATAACCTGAGTTTTCAAATTATTCATGGTTCAACGATTGTATTTATTTATGATCATTCATTGTACTACCATTCAGGATAGACTGAGTTAGACTTAAATGTAGTAGCAACTTAAGCAACTGCACCAACACTACCTCCAAATATAATTTACCTTGTTAATATTATCAAGGTATTTACCTTGATAACATTAAATGATACATCCAATGACCATAAGCTTTTGCCTAGACACATTTGCATTGTTTTAAAAGACTGGACTAGTCTATCTGATCATCATCTAAAATTGCTTCGTAACCTACAAAGTAACAAACTAACTATGTAAAAAACACACAAAAAACTAAAAAAAAAAAAACAAACAATAAAGACATTAAAGCTGTTTGTAAATTATAATACTGTAACTATATAACCTTGTAACTAATTATAAAAAAACATAAAGTGTACCTAGGGCATGCTCAAAAAAATTATCTCTTTTAACACAACTTGTGCATAAAAAGAAAAAAAAACAAACATGCATCAAAAATGTTATGATCTATAAAACGTGGAAAATAAAGGTTGATGATGTTCAAAGTCTCAAAAAAAAAAAACAGTGAAGATGATGGATGGATGTGTGATGTGACTTTTGGAGATAAGAAAAACTAAAGATGATGGATGGATGTGTGATGTGACTTTTGGAGATAAGAAAAACTCAAGATGATGGATGGATGTGTGATGTGACTTTAGGAGATAAGAAAAACTAAAGATGATGAATGGATGTGTGTTGTGACTTCAAAGGATAAGTAAAAAAGTGATGATCTGAAACAGAGATTGTGAATAGTAACTGTATCTAATAGGATGCATCAGGAAAGATTAAGGAAGTTTTACATATTTTTATGTAAATAAAGTTTGCTTACCTCAAAACAAAAATTGTACTTTAAAAATAATAGTTCAAAAAGAAAGGTGGAAAGATAAATTAGAGAGTGCATTACAGATAAGTTAAAACAGTTTTAGTTAAGTAACAAAGATGCCTAAGATTCTGTAATTAGAGAAATGGGATTATGATAAATGTTGGACCTGAGCTCAGTATTATGAGCTCAGTATTAACATTAGCTTAACAAGTTTAGTAACAAGAGCTCAGTATGACAAGAGACAAAATATATTACAAAGACACCTTTCTTTATGATCTCTGTCTTATCATAAAATTATAAATTAATTGTCTTAGTGTAAATTATTCTGAATTTTAACTTTTTAAATTAAACTTTTTAACTTTTTAAATTAAATTTTAATAAAAAGTTTTAAGAAACGCAAAAAATGTGAAAACATTACTAGTACAGTCTACTGAAATTATTTTAAAAAAAAACTAAAAGTTAACAAAAATGATATAATAAAACTAAATTATAGTTTCAAAAACTTAAACAATTTAAAACTTGACTTTATTAATTTTTTAATTTAACATATTTTTTTTTTGAGAGACAAAGCTAAAAGTTTTTCTCAGCTCCAGCTCTATAAAGGTTTAGCAAAAAATAGTATGATGATATTCTAATAGCCTATTCTAAATCAATTTATCTATAAGCATGCTAAAACCAAGAAAATAAATTTTTCGATTTGACTAAGACAATAAACTTCTTACCATCTTGTTTTTGTTTCTTTTATATCATAATCATGTGTTCTTTAAACATCAATTTAGCAACTTATTTCATTTTTTTTTTAACTTTTTATTATTATAATTATAAAATAGCTTAAAGTTAATAAACCATTTAACCAGTAACCTATGCATCCACAACTTGCTTTTTTCATGTGTTAAGAATTACTAAATCTTCATGTCTAATTAATAACATTAAAAATTGTACAATAACTATGGTTGTTATGGCTACACAAATAGAAAAATTATTAATCAATTATAAATCAACACCTAAAAAAATAGAAAAAGAAATTATATTTAGGGGGATAATATTTTTATCAGAAATACATATATGAATTTTTTTTTGAAGAAATATGTCTGGTTTAACACTTGTGTGGTTGGATCGTTTTCTACAACGCCATTTTCTTACTTATAAAAAGAGTTGAAATAATTTTTTACAATAATAGGCTCTTTCTGGCATTAAACTGTTTTGCAGATTAAGCATTTTTATTATGTTCACACTAATAAAAAAAATTTAAGACTAACAAGCTAATATTCAAGATTAACATTAGGGAATGGGGGGGGGGGGGTGAGGGTAAACATCACATATTTATACCTTTTGAACAATTAATATTTTTAGAAATAGTCTAGGATTTTGGAGAACATTTTATACAATAAAATGATCAAGTTTTAAGTTTAATTCCAGGTTTAAATCACCATTATTTTGTATGATCAATGAGAACTCATTGGACAGCAGATAAAAGTTTGTATTTTTACAGTGTTGAAAAATAATTGTTGATACTTTTGTAACTCTATATGTTACTCTATATAAACTCTTTATTTTCAAATCACTTACATCTCTAACAGTAACATTTTATTCAACAAATTTTAATTAAAAAAACTTGAACAAAAGTTTTACTTATTTTTCTACATATCCACGTTCTTCATTAACAATCATCACATTCCACATGTATCATAACTGATATTCGCCTAATCACAAAAACCCAAGGTTTGAACCTAATTTAGAAACCCTAAATAAATCAAATCTGGTCAGGAGAATTTTGCTTTTGAGTTTGAAAGGAAATTTAGAAATCCATCACACACTTTTTCAAAATATTTTTTTTATTTAAAAAGAATACTTTTACACCTGAAAGCTGTACTTTATGGGAGAAAAAAATTAAAAATAAAATTTGCTGCTTATTATCTCCAAAACACCATATTTCCAAAATTAATTTTTTTTTTCACCCAGAAGCTACACCTTTTTCTTATATTGTGTTATCCTAATCAAATATATATATATATATCTATATCTATATATATATATATCTATATCTATATATATATATATATATATATATATATATATATATATATATATATATATATATATATATATATATATATATATATATATATATATATATATATATATATATATATATATATATATATATATATATATATATATATTTGATTTACAACTTACTAAAAAAATACTCAGAAATAAAAACTCCAATTTTTAATGTAAACAGAAAGGAAAGGGTAAAAGTATTTAAATTTAAAAGTGGATAAGGGTAAAGTGTGTACACAAAATAAATGTGAAAGTAGAAAAACAACTAAAAAAAAGTCCTCTTCAATTTTTATTTCTAACCAAGTAATAACATTAATACAATAATATAAGAAGATCAAATATAAAAAAAAAATCAAATTATTCCTGTGGGAATCTAATAAAATATCGAGCTTTTGCTTTGGTGGTACCCATAAGCTTGTGCACAGAGTAAGAATTGAAGCCATTTGATGCTTTTTTAAATTATATTTTAATAACTTTAATATTTCTGCAAAGTTTTTTTGTTTTTTTTTTTCATTTGTCTTTTAATAATGGCCCAGTACTTTTTAATAACTCTTAATTCTGAGCAGTTTGGAGGATTTTCTGTTTTAGGCACAAATTTCACATTATTATTTTTATACCATTCCAAAGCAAGTTTACAATAATGAATTGAAGCTAAATCTGGCCAGAACACAGGTCTCTTATCATGCGATTTAATGAGAGGTAAAAAACGTTTTTGTAAACACTCTTTAACATATATTGACCCGAAAGTGTGAGCTGAGAAATATAAGGTGCTGATTTTTTGCCACAACTGCAAATAGCTTGCCAAATCAAGACTTTTTTAGCAAATTTGTCGTGTTTTATTTATTTAAATTTCTTATCTGCTTTTCCTCTACATTTGGCAATATAATAGACGGCACCAGAAATTTGCTGATGATCGTTTTTTATATAAGTTTCATCGTCTTCAATAATACAGAAATTTTTAGAAATAAAATTGTCATACATCTTTCTGCAGCGGGTTTTTTCACTTTTTTGTTGAGTTTCAGATCGGTTGGGCACTTTTTGCGCTTTGAAAGAATGAAAACCATGTTTATTTTGGACTTTTACAACAAAACTATGAGAAAGTCCACAAATGTTTGCACGCTCCCTTAATGAATGGCTTGGGTTTGTCTTAAAACCATTAACCAGTTCTTTAACTAGTTTTTTATCTTTAAAACATTCAAAAGACGTTCAAACAATGTCCAAAACGTGTATAAGACTTTTGAAAGACGTCTTTTTTACGTCCGTGTCCACTGGGTAATGGTGTATGGATGTATTTGCAACTCTTTTGCTATCGAATTGTAGCTACTGTTGGGATTTTCCAAATATTTACGCATAATTTTTTCTCATGTCTTCTTCTTTTGTCGTTTTTAAAACTAATTTTAATTTTAATTTAAATCAAAAAACTAATACATATTTTTGAAACCACAACACGTTGTAAACAAAATACAAAACAGTTAAAAAGATTTTAATCTAACCACTGAAAAAAAATGATTTATTCTTTTCACATTTATTTTGTGTACACGCTTTAGAAGCAACTCATAAAAATTTAATGGTAATCTTCCTAGTAGTGGATCCAAAACTGATTCACAAAACAGGTTGATGTCAAGAATGATTGTAAAAAACTTTTTTAACTCTACTATTATGACATAAATAAATTGGATAAAAAAAGAGTTTTAAACCCAACTAAACAGCATAAGGGTTAAACTATGGATGTTAAAATTATACACACATATATATATATATATATATATATATATATATATATATATATATATATATATATATATATATATATATATATATATATATATATATATATAACCATAATGCAAACTCTGCTCCAACCCAAACATACATTAATACATTCAATCAATATTACCAGGTTGGTAACTTGTATTTTGTATTAATTGCATAGAATAGCTTAGATCTCTTTGATTTACCATTGATAAATGCCCAATGCCCATGATGAACCAGTTAAGATAAACTGTTATAGCAAAAGTTAAAAAAATGAACAAAATATATACGCGTTTTCGACAAACCCATCTTTTCAGTAAATCTATCATTCATTTATTCTATAAAAATTATATAATTCTATAAGCAGCAATTAAAAGAAAAAAAAAATTAAACAAAGAGAATTTTTTTTACTATAATGCATTTTAAGTGAAATAAAGCAAGAAAAAAAAGTGTATTTTAATTTACATCAAATCTGCAATAATTTATTTTATTTAAATTACAGCAGATTTGATGTTATATCTCCAATATAATGCAATACTGAAATACATTCAAAAGCCTGAAATTGCACATAACTGCAAGTTATGTGCAATTGCACATAACTTGCAAGATAAAGAAATTGCACATAACTGCAAGTTCACAGTATAAGTAGAATAGCAGTATATAAATACATATATATACACATATAACTTATACTGCTGAATAAGGTGAGCGTGATGATGTCATATTCACCTAATGTCGAATAGCCTGCTGCCGGGGGCTTCAGTACATACATCGACTGACAAATAGCCTGACTCGCAGTGGAGTGCTGCTACATCGACTGAGGGTTTGGTATGGGTCAGCAACCTTTTCATTCATTATTCTTCGTTTTCCCTTATCATTTTCTAAAATCGCTCACTTAAATTAGGCTAGCAAAAAAAGTGAGCAATTGCGCATATAAATATGCTATAGTAGATATATATATATATATATATATATATATATATATATATATATATATATATATATATATATATATATATATATATATATATACATATATATATATATATATATATATATATATAACTTATAGGGTTTGTTAGGGTTTTTCCAGATTCTATCTAGGTATGATAGGCTTTTAATACAGCAAAACAAAAAAAATTATCTTTTTCATTGTTTTTCCTTTATTTCTTGAAATAACTGTCTGTATATAAGTCGGCATTTTAAAACTTAGTAAGGAAATTTTATATTTTAACCCTTATAATCAATTTATGTAAAAAAAGAACCATTAAAGATATATAACATTTAGAATTGGTATTATTCAAAATAAAGAAATTTGGATTAAGCAAAGAAGATATTTGACTTATTTAGACTGTTTATCTAAATTTACAATGCTACAAAATATTTATAAAATACTAAAAGGCTAACACATAATTAACATAAGTTTACATTTTTGTATTATATTTTGTATTGTTAAATAATTTGAATACTACTTTCTTACTTTATTATTTTACTTTTAATTTAAATTTTTTAAAAACGTAATTAAAATAATACTTCATCTTCTACAAATAACAATAATCCTATAAACTGTTTACAAGTATTAAATTGTGTATTGTACATACTGCAGTAATATTGCAGCATAATATTATGGTAAATTATATAAACAATGCATGGGTAAAATAAAAGAAAATAGTAATTTAATACTTTATTTATTTGGTGGAGTAAAAAAATTACCAAATTTAAACATAGTTAAAAATATATTAACGCAAAATTTCATAATTGTTAAAAAATTAGTATTAATGGTATTAATGGTATTAGTGTCAAAAAGTGACCCTTGAACCGCAAAACCAGTGATATGCTGATAAAATATGGTAATGATAAAATAAAACAAAATAAAAATGAATTGGATATGGAAATGTTTAAATCAATTAATGTAACCGTGATCCAGAGTTTTCCGACTGCTTCCTAATACGATGAGAATCTTGACTGTGACCAACTTTGAGAATGTCTCTGATATGTTCAACAATTAAATCAATGGCAACAGTGTTATTCACACCACGAGGAATAATAACATCTGCATACTTTTTAGTCGGAAGTGTAAAGTCTTCAAATGATCGCTTTACAAATGAAGTGTAATGGCTCAAAACACTATCAATATCACGCTTATGCTCTATTGTGTCTCGTAGTACTCTTCGAGCTAACCTGGTATCACAATCAGTGTCAATAAATATTTTCATATCAAGATTATCACGAATTTCTTTGTTGTAAAGTACAAGTATTCCTTCAAACAATATAACATCTGCAGGGTATATTATCTCGCCTGTATCAAGTCGAGAATAAGTTACAAAGTCATACTTTGGAATACTGACAGGCTTTCCTTCTTTTAGCGTTTTTATGGTAGCTAAAGCTAATTCATCATCAAAGGCTGATGGATGATCAAAATTAAATTTTCCTAATGAAGCCAGAGCTTTTTGTTCATCATTCAAATTGCAATAAAAATTCTTGTGTCGAAGCATTATAATGCGCTGCCTTCCGCTACTGTTCATGTTTTCCTCAATTTCTTCACATATTTTCTTGCAAACTTCAGTCTTACCACAACATGTGCCACCAGCGACGCCAATAAAAAACGGTGTTGCATTTTTAACTGACATCATGCATCTAAAAAAATACTTTTTATTAATTATTTTTAAATGGTATCAAGCAACTTCTTTCCGCCACCCCTGTATATATATATATATATATATATATATATATATATATATATATATATATGTATATATACATATATATATATACATATATATATATATATATATATATATATATATATATATATATATATATATATATATATATATATATATCCTTATATCGTAGTCGAAAGAGACTTTAATCGTTAAAAAAAAGTCTCTTTCAACAACATATAAGCGACTTCATCAACTAAGCAACATTTTAATGTCGTCCAAAAGTTAAAACAATTTAAAAAATTAAAACAATTAAAATAATGCGGAAGTACATCAAGTTTTATCGTTTTTCAAAAAACCGAAATATCAATGACTAAAATGTTTTTTTAAAACATGCGGGGATGCTGCTACATGGACTATCTTATAGCCTGCTGCTACAAGGGAGTGTTGCTGCATTGACTGAAGGTTAGGGTTAGGGCAAGCAATATATCATTTGACAAAAAATATTACACACACACACACACATATATATATACATGTGGGACAAGCATTTTTTTTTCACTGAGAATGGACACTGAATGGACGCAGAAGAATCTGCATCAACTGGACCAGTTGATGCAGTTACTTCCATGCAGTGGAATGTATCTGCATAAACTGGTATAGCTATAAGTGTCTACATACATGAACTGATTTGTCTAGGTATAGGTGCAGTAAATTCAACATCAACTGAGTATTTGTAATTTGGTCAGGTAGAGTCAGATGTAGTTTGTAAATTGATCAAAAAGTAGGTTAAAAAATTCAGATTGAAATCTCAGTATGTTGAAAAATATGATTCTAGAAAGTTTAAATTATAGACGTTATAGACGTCAGATAACAAATTGTTAAAAAAGAGCATTTGTTAAGTAATTGTTAAGAAAAGTTAGTGCATTTAGTGTGAAAAACAGTTTGTTCACTTAAAACCAAAAACAGAGACTTTTTAAATTCAAAATTTTTCAGATTTTTTTAATTTATTTTAAAATAAGATTCAGAATTAGTTTTTACTATAAAATGTTCTAAGTTTTTATTAATTTTACTATGTTTTTGTTATTTTCAGAAATTGGGAAAAAACATTTAGGCTAGATTTTGGAAATATGAGCATTTAAATAATATGCCAAATTAACAACTTGTCTCCACCATAAACATGTTTTAACAACAAATTAACAACTTGTCTCCACCATGTTTATTTGAAGCATTATCAGGGTATCTACACTTTTTTTGAGTTAACAAATTAGAAGAATTTAGAAGATTTTAGCAGATTTTAAAGATTTGTTAGGAGATTTTATGGGAAACTTGGGAAAAAGAACTTAAAAAAAAATTAGGACTATTCAGGAGAATTTATAAAAAATATAAATAAATTTTTTTTTTATGAAATTTAAATATTATTTCAAAATTTTAGTTAAAAATTTGAAAGTTTAAGATTTATGTTCAAAAGAAAACTTAAAGCTCAAAAAAACAAGTTTAAATTTTAGGAGTATTTTTGAAATCCAAGTATAATAATTTAGGAGCATTTAGGTCTTTTTAGGAGGCTTTTCAAATATTTTGTTTTTGGAACAAAAGTGTTTGTTACACATTTACACATTTGTTATTGCAAGGATGCAATAACAAATGCGTAAACAAAACTGAATTCTTCTCACAATCCAAAAATAATTTATAGTAAATTCAAAGGTTTTATCCAAAGACCTTTTGCATTATGCAGCAAGGAACATATACATCATGAAAGAAAGTTTCTTATGGAAATATTCATAGAAAATGGTCATAAAAAATACAAATAATATAAAAAGCAATATGCAAAATAATCAACAAAACAACAACAATAACATCTGATAACTAGAATATAACTATATTTCTTTATCATGAGTACCAAAATAAATATTTAATTAAAAAAGATATTTCAAAATACAGGGTACACTCAAGTTTTCAAATCACTAAAAAACCATCAACATTTAATAACTCAAAAAAAATAAGCCTTGACTTCCCAACAACTTTGATCCTGGAGTCTACAAACTGGAGTGTTCATGTGGAAAATTTAATTTAGGTAAAACAAAGCTCAAAGTTTTAACACGCACTTGCCAATATCAAAGACATACTTTTATGGAAAAATGGAAAAATTCAGCCATGACGGGGCATTCCAGAAATTACCAGGCCTTGGCGGGAGTTAATGAGCACCAGAGCAAAGAAAAGCACTCCTAAAACGAAAATGGCAAGCCATGCCAGCTGCTCCTCTAAAGAGCTTTTGATTTTTGCACAAGCTATATTTGTTTATTCATTAAAATTGCTTATTAAATACAAACTTTGGTTTTATATTTGTTACAAGCATATGTTTGTAACGTTAATGTTACAAGAATATATACATAACAAACGTCATTTATTTCTCTGTGAAAAAATTATTTAGAATTTTTTTAGGATTTTCACACTAACTATCACTTTATTAACAACATTACTTATTTGATAAAAAATTTGACAAAGAGCTCTAAAAGTTTTTACTGCTCACAAAAAATGTTTTTTATTTTCTTATTGTAATAGAATGCAGGCGTTTTTAGAACTACAACATTTTTAGAATTACAACAATTTTTTACAATAATTTTTTTTAATTAATTTTTTTTTTAAATTAATTTTTACAATTATTTTAGAATTACAACAATTTTTAGAATTACAACAATTAAAAATTCCACATAAGAAGTGAATAATATATTAAAGTAATTTATATATAAAATATATAACTCATTACATAAAACAAAAATTATTATGCAATAATTTAGATTGTAATAATTTTATATTTAATTTTTTAAATAAACTTATTTAATTTAAAAATTAAATAAGTTTATATTTTATCAATATAATTGAGAGTGTTTTTTTTTATAACATTTAATAATTTTATATTTTTCAGTTAGTCCAATCTAATCAAAAAGATTTTCAATCTGTTTTTTTTTTTTTTAATTTTTTTAATTTTCTAACAACTGTTCTTTTCAAAAAGCATTGCAGTTTATTATGAAATTAACCTTTTTTTAAATAAATATGACTGTTTTTTATTTTAGTTGCAATGATAATTATACTTTTGAGAAACCACTTTAGGGGAGTGTTTATAAGCCTTTTAAGAAAATCAGTGCTGTTAAAAAACATTAATAGCACTTAAGATTAATGTTTGTTAAAACTTTCTTATAAGATACCCAGTTTCGGGCACTGCAACAAAATGGCCGATTCCAGGTACTCAGTAAAATAGCGGAAGTGCAGGAACCAAACCAGGTACCCTGTTTGGATCCGGTAATTCTGCTGTTTAACTGAGTACCCGGAATCTGCCTTTTTGTTGCAGTACCCAGCACTGGGTATCTTAAAAGAAAGATATAACAAGCATTAACCTTAAGTGCTGTTACTATTTGTTTAAATTTTACTTTAAATTGTGTTGAAAAATTATCAACAGGATTGCTTTTAGTTTAAACTTCAATCTGCAAAATATATATATATATATATTTAAAAAAATATAAATATAAATATAAATATATATATATATATATATATATATATATATATATATATATATATATATATATATATATATATATATTGGAAATATATATTTTATATGAGTATAAAACCAAATTTTGTACTTAATAAGCATTTTTTTAAATGAATAAACATAAAACTGGTGCAAAAAACCAAAAGCTCTCTGATCCATTCCCAATAAAGCTGCAAGCAACCAATATTAAGTCGGGAACTACTAGAAAAAAAGAATAGAGCAAGGAAATGGTTGACAGAAAACTTAAAAAGAAGGTCAAAAGACTTAAAGCTGAAGGTTGTATGAGTCAGGAAAACATGATAATAGGAGAGAGTTCTAAATGGTTTAAGTGTGGTAAAAAAAACTAGACAAATAAAAAAATTTTAGAGCATGCAGGAACACATATATACATAAAGTAACTTACGAGTGAGTAAACACCACGCCAGAGGTTCAGAACACAAACATACATATAAACATAAACAGACAGAACATAAACATACAGATAGCAACTTACGGGTGAGTCAACACTGCGCTAGTGGTTCAGACAGAACACAAACATCAAACAGATAACAACTTACAAGTGAGTCTCTGTGCCAGAGATTTAGACAGAACACAAACATACATGGTAGATTACAGGTGAGCTAAAAACAGTAACTAAGGCACCTCAAACTATATAAAAGACACACACAAATATATATATATATATATTTTTTTTTTAATTGCGGGAAATAATTAAATTTAGAAAACCATAAAAAGAAACAAATTAAAAGACAAGAATGTTTTTAAAAACATTTTATTTTATAAAAATAAAAACATTCTGAATGTTTTGTTTTTTTAACTGTAAAACATGTGCAGAGTTGCTACATTGACTATCTTATAGCCTGAATTGCATCGGAGTGCTGCTACATCGACTGACAAATAGCCTGATTTGCAACAGAGTGCTGCTACATCAACTGAAAAATAGTCTGACTTGCAATGGAGTGCTGTTACATCGAGGATTTGGTTTGGGCAGGCAGTCTATCAAATAATTAATAACCAAATTTTAGGAGAGATAGAGAACCAGAGATGATCACACACACTCTCTCCCCTCCTTTTGTATGCATCTACACATTTTTGGGCAACTCCCCTCCTCTTATACCTGCGTACACACTTTATGGAGATCCCCTTTTGTGAAATCAATTTAGAAACAGCAAAATACCTATGCAGTAAAGGCAAATTTGTAGTACCAGGTAAAAAGCTTTGCCACATTGTAGACATAAATTAGCACCAAGTAGAAAATCAAAAGAAAATGAGTTAGAGGTATAATTAATTAAATATGGAGAAAGAAATTATGCTGAATCAACAAGATCATTGCTTAAGAGTACTTTATGTGAACTTGAAGAGTCTCCTCTAAGAGTTTATTTACCTAAAACCTCTAACGAGACTTGACTTAGAAAAAGAAA